GTGAGTGATCAACATGGTGGCACTGAGGAAGAGAAGACATAGAGAGGTACATGGGAGGTGCAGATAACAAAGATGAACCCTTTTGGATACACAGAACTGCGTCAGTGAAGGCAAACACGGGTATACGGGTGGATAGGTGGGTGGACAGGCTGAACTATTAGGTATGTTTATGCAGCAGGGAATGTACCCAAGTATAGTGCTAGCAGACAATGGTTCTACAAGAGTATTTGTATGTTCTGTAAGAATTCCCAGGGGTATAGTAGAGCTGACAAGGGACAAAGTTGTGGTCACTTCTTGGTCATAGCCAGCTACCAAGAGGGAGCAAGTAGTTGAAACTCTGGGCTCGGGACCATAGTCACAGGGGACATCAAGCTCAACTGGCATATAACATACTACACAAAACACTGTTCTACTTCCTACTTTGGTGATTAGTGACTGGGATCTTAAAAGCTTTCAAGCAGCCATCTAGATGCAACAATGGGTCTCTCCTCGGCCAGAGCAAAGAAGAATGAAGAAAACCAAAGATTCACAGAAACAATTAGTCCATGTGACTGGTACACCATGCGATCCTCAGCCTCTATGACTATGAGACCAGAAGAACTAGATGGTTCCCAGCTACTACTGTCAACCTCTTGGAAGGGGATCTATGTAGGAGATTCTGGACAAAGAGGGAGAACAATGTGGAACAAAACTTGAGTTTTTCATTGGGGGGAGGGGTAAGGGGAGACCAGGTTTGCTAGTCTGATAGAGCCTGATGGAACCCCTGAGACTATGGCCCCTAGCTGCCCTTCGGCTCTGGAATTGAACCCACTCCTGTGGTTTCCAGCCAAACAAAAGACAGGCATGTGAGTTGAACATTTACCTGAGGTAGATACACTCCTTGGAGAGAACAATCATGGGAGAAAGAAGGGCTGCTTATGCACAGGGAGACAGCTCAAGGGGCAGGAGTACATGGAGGGATGGACACAGGGAAGAGGTAACTATGGAGAGGAAGTGGGGGGGAGCTGTTGCATTGTGGTAAATTGTGGTCAGTGTCATGAGACAAAGTGTATGTGAACTGCTGTATAGAAAGAGAATTTGCTGTGTAAACTTTCACCCAAATCACAATAAAAAAAAAAAAAAAAAACAAAAAACCCATGAAGGGTTGAGCCACCGTTCCAGCCAGAAGAGCAGGCGGCTTTGGGACTCCGAAGGGCGGCCCCACCCGCCTCTGACTCAAGCACCACATTCTGGCGGCTTGAAAGCAACACACCGACAGAAAGGCGATTTGTTGGGTGGTTCCGGGCGGGGAGAGTCACGCTTCTTAGGTTCAAATCCACTTACGCCATTTCCTGGGGCAAGGCTCTTACCCCCACGAGGCTTTAGACTCCGAATATGTCAAATGCGGATAATGGTGGTACCGACTTCATAGGGCTGTGGTGTAGGTGAAAGATATGCACTCAACGGTGCCTAACACACATTCAGCTTCCAAGAAACGTTATCATTACTGTTGTCGCGCAACGAGGCCCTGGTCGCCAGGATGCTGGCGCTGTGGGCCGGCCTCGCTCCCTCCGTCGGTTCCTGGCCATGGCCGGGGTTCCCGCTTCCGGTCCCATGGGAACCTCGGTTCTCTGGGCTTCGGTCCGGAGGCCCGCGCCGCCAGGGTTCCGCCCTGCAGTCGGCCCTAGCCCGGCCCTGCCCAGCCCCGCGAATTCCCTGCCCGGCGTTCTGAGAAACTTTGAGAATGAGAGGCCGAGCGCGGGGTGGTCGGCAAATGTGGTCCACTAGCTTCCGGCCACCGGGCACCAACCTCGGGGGAACACTCACCATCTCGGACCGATAGGGTAGCTCAGCGTCGCCAGCAGGCAGCCCAGTCCCGGTGCCTGTCTGCGCCTGCGCATATCTGTCAAAACAGATGGCTTCGGCAGCCTATCAGACAGCGCGGGGCGGGCGGACCTTAGCCTGCTACGCTAGGGCTCGTGGAGAATTTGCCCTGCGCTGTCCCAAAGGGAAAAGCGAATGAGCACTTGAGCGGTGGAAAATTCCCAACTCCTGCTATGCCAAAAAACGTGCTAGTTTGCGGTTTCAGAAGAAGCTTTTAAACTGAACCTAGGTCAGAGATGGCGCTGGAGCCTGAAAGTTCGCAGGCGTAGGACTTCGAGCTGAGCCCCAGCCCCGTGTTACCTTGGAGAAGTCACTTACAATCTACGTGGGCTCTCATTTTCTCACCTTTAAAAGGGGACCTTTCATTCAGCGCCTTAAGATGGCTCTTTTTCGCTCTTTAATTTTCCACTCCCGCAGGCCACAAAAAATTCCGGTTCTTCTAGCAAGAAATAATTAGTTAAAATACTACCATTTAGTAAACTTGCACTGGAAAACCGAAAATCAACTCCACTGCCACCGTGTGGATTCTGAACTCAAACCGACCCTTTTGGACAGAGTTGAACTGCCCAGTTGGGTTTCCAAGGCTTCATCTTTATCTTTTTTTTTTTTTTTTTTCAGGCTTTATCTTTGCATAAAGAAACTCCCATCTTTTGCTGCAGAGTGGTTGGTGGGTTTGAACTGCAAACCTTTTGCTTAGCAACTGGATGCTTTAACCACTATACTGCCAGAGTTCCTAACTTGTCCCGTGTACTGTACATTATCTACAGTAGCTCCAGCTTAGTAAGTACCAGCATCCCCACGTGTTTCTTTGAGGCACTGGAACTTGCTGAATTCAACACATTATCTAACTCCAAATTTTCACTCTACTATAGCCTAAGGAGTTCTGGTAGGATAGTGATCAAAGCACTGGGCTGCTAACCTGAAGAATGGCAGTTCGAACCCACCAGGCACTCTGCGGGAGACCGATGTGGTAGTCTCTTCCTGTAATGATTACAGCCTTGGAAACCCTATGGGGCAGTTATACTCTGCCCTATAGGGTCGCTAAGTCGGAATTTACTCATTGGCAGTTGGTTATAAGCCCCTCTACATGAGGACTAGGGGCATTCTGGTGGCACAGAGCCTAAAGCATTTGACTGCTAACCAGAAGGTTGGCGGTTCAAACCCACCAGCCACTCCTCGGAAGGAAGAAGAGATACCTTCCGCAGAGATACCTCTATGGAAACCCAAGGAAGGGCGGCTATGAGTCGAATCCGACTCTACAGCAGTGAGTTTTTTTTTTTTTTAATATGAGGACTTGGTGTTTCCTTCCAGAGGTGTGTCTGCATGTTAAGAGGATTGGATAGTGACTTCAGAGTGATGAAACTTGGCAGAAACCATCTTAACCAGGGGATCATCACTGGTAATCAGACATATCATGTACTCCCAATAGGTGCTTAGACAGGGTACATCATCTCTGTGGTACTTTTTACAAAAAACCCATAGTCTTGACCATGGGAAAACATCAAACCCAAACTGAGGGCCTGCCCCTCCAAAAACAAACCAAACTCACTGCCATCAAATCGACTCCAACTCAGAGTGACCCCCACTGGGTTTCCCAAACTGTAAATCTTTACTGAAGCACACTGCCTCATCTTTCTTGAACGGAGCAGCTGGTGAGTTCCACCCACTCCACCTTAACCACTTACCACCAGAGCTCCCTGAGGGCCTGATCGATACACTCTTTCAAAATGTCAGGGTCATGAAAGATGGAACAAATGATGAACTGTCGCAGATTGGAGGCGGCCAAGGAGATGTGGTAGGAAGCCCTGGCTGCACAGTGGTTAGACTCTAGGCTGCTAACCCAAAGGTTGGTGCTTTGAACCCCAGCCATTGTGCAGGAGAAACAGGTGAGAAATAGGTGGTAGTCTCCTCTTCTGTAAAGATTACAGCCTTGGAAACCCTGTGGGGCAGTTCTACCCTATCCTATGTTGTTGTTGTTGTTATGTGCCGTCGAGTCGGCCCCGACTCATAGTGACCCCTCCTTGGGTTTCCAAGGCAGTATCACTACGGAAGTAGGATTGCCCAACCTTCCTTCCGAGGAGTGGCTGGTGGGTTTGAACCGCCATGTGATAGTTGAAGATGTGTCAACTTGGCTGGACTCCAGTTGTGAGTGGTGGTTCCCATGATGGATCACATGACTGAGTTCTAAGCGGCCGGTCTGCCCAAGGGGAGTTTCCCCAAGGGTGTGGCCTACCTGCAATGCTATCCCAGGGACAAGCTGGAAGAATGGCATTCCGGACTATATACTTCCTGGAGCCAGCAGCTCGCTGCTCGCCCTGGAGGTTTTCGGATTCATTCTTTGTTGGGAACAGCGACCAGCGCGCTGCGTGTCAGCTTGATTCTCTCGGCTCTGTTGTGCTTACGGGAACCAGGCGGCTCCGGGCCTCATCCCCCTCCAGAGACGAACTTTGTGGCTTGAACTCCTCTGCCGTGCGTGTGAAAGCCAGACGGCTCCAGGCCCCATCCCCCTCCAGAGACGAACTTTTCAGCTTGAACTTGTCGGCTTCTACACGCTTGTGAGCCATTTATCTAAGATAAATTTCTCTCTCTCTCTCTTTCTCTCTCTATAAATATATATATATACTTTGCTGGTTTTTGTGTTTCTCTAGAGAACCCAATCCAACACACGCCAGCCTTCTGGTTAGCAGACAAGTGCTTTAGCCACTATGCTACCAGAGCTCCTATCCTGTCCTATAGGGCCCCTAAAAGTTGCTATGAGTCAGAAACAACTCAGTGGCAACAGGTGGTCTTTTTTTTTAAAGGAGCTGTGACATCTAAATAGTGTGGAATCCTGGATCTGATCCTGGAAAGGAAACAGAGCATTAGTAGAAAAACTGGTGCAATCTGAATGAGGCCAGTAATCTTCAGTGGGTATTTTTACCAATGTTCATTTATTAGTTTTGATCACTGTATCAGGGTTATGTGGGATATTAACAAAGGGAGAAGCCACGTAAGAGGTTTGCAGGAGCTCTCCGTACTTCTTTGCAACAGCTCTGCTAAATCTTAAACTATTTCAAATTAAGGTTTTTTTAAGAAAAAGATTGGCTCCAAAACAATGACTATTGAATGCTGGAAACATTAGGAAAGCACCTAGCAAGAGGCAGAAGTGCTACAGTGACTGGAGCCCAAAACATCCTGGCAGATAGGCACATCATCTTACACTTGGAGAACCAGACTGGGGGAGGTGCAAGTATCTAACAAGATCACTGTCCCAGACTAAGTGGTCAATAGGTCAGTGTGGCTGGAATCAGCATGCAGGTGCAAGAAGAGCTGGAGATAGTTCTGCAGTCTCATATGGGATCTTGGGTGGCAGGCTTAGGAGTTTATTCTGTGGTAATAGAGGAACCACTAAAATTTTAAGCAAGGGGGCAACACCAAGACTGAGGTCTTCCACAGTTCATTCTGAGGCAGCACAGAGGATGGGCGGGAGGGGAGAGAATGGAAGTCATAAGGATTGTGGCAATGGCACCTCTGAGGGAAGAGATTCAAAAGCAGTTCTGGAGACAGATTTCACAGGACTTGCCGAGTTGGTTATGAATGCTCCTAGGGCAGTGACTATGAACAGCAGGATAGCAGAACAGTTAAGCACACAGGCTTTACAGTCTCAGAGTCCTGGATCCCAATTTGCAACCCTGTCACTGAATAGCTGTGGGAACTTCAGTCAGTTACTCAGTCACTTTGAGCCTGTATTTTCTCCTCTGTAAAAGAGTCATTCTTCTCTGAGTGTGGCCGAGAAGACAAAGACAACGCGTGCAGCATGTCTAGCAGCATCTGGCACATAGTAATAACCACTGGCAGTAGTCCTGCGACTAACTGACCACAGGTGTCGTACTGTTCACTACGACTGGGAAGATGAACAACGAGTCTGCAAGTTTCCAAGCTCCTTCCCTATGCAGTGCTTTGAAGAAACCTCTCATCCACAGCCACAACCACTGTTTGTGGAGCAGGAAGACCTACTTTGTGTCGATTCCCCTGGACACCACCTTCCCTCACCTGAGCGTCCTGGCCAAAGGAGCTCTCGCTATACTACCGAACTGACACATGACGTGGGCTGGGAGCGACAGCAGTTCTTGTGCTTGAGTTATACAGTGAAAGACACACCTTCTAAAAGTCCAGAGACCAGCAGCCAGTTCCAGCCGGATGCTTTGTGTGGAGTCTGGGGCTGGAGAGCCAACTAAATGTCAGTAAGGATAGCTATTTCCCAATGAAAAGTTTCCTCACAGTGAGGGGGCATATCTTCCCCCACTGAAGCTAGAATGTTCTAGCTGCTTATATGGGGCAGATTAAATAGAACATGGCTGTCTCTTGAGGACTGGAAAGGGCCCTCAGTTTCTGTCCTCCAGTCACTGTCAGACCAGCATATTAACAAATTATACTTCCCTAGCCTCTCTCCATTGGTACTATTTTAAATGAGAGCATAACCATCCGGTTTCCTAAAAGAAAAAGGTCTATTGAAACTGCTGAGCAGGCCAAATGTTGGGAAGGACTAGCCTTGGCAGCTGAGGCTCCGCTTAGAGCATCTTCAGTTCTCTCAAGAAAGTAATTCACACGGAGGCCCTAACGTTTGGCTGGCCCCGCCACGGCAAACTGCAAACGTTTCCATTTTTATTCTCTCCAACATAGGAGCCAGATCTAATGTTACCTGAGTCGGTCTTTCTAGTTTTTTGTCCCCCTACTATTCACAATACAGACAGGCTATATCACCTGCCCACTTACAAAGTCAGAGAGACAGGAAATCTAAAGGACCTACTCACATAGGCATTTTCTCTGCAGGTGGGGAACATCTTTTTACCCAAGACTAACAGAAAAGTATGCAAATGAAGGAGCAAAAAAGTTTAATTATAAACACAGTCTTACATCTTTTAAGAAAAATGCAAGTGAGGCAGCCCCCTTAAGGACCTTTATAAAAGCACGTGACTCCCTGTGATAATCGTAGTTAACCTGAGTATTTGAAATTACAGTCCAAGGAAACAAAGGAACTCTGATACAATATCATACAATCCAGTGCTGCCATTTCATTTCATTTAGTTAATAAGCATATATACAAACACTCTTGTAAATAACTCTAAAGCCAAAAAGAAAAAAAAAAGAGGGGGGCTGGAGATACCAACAATTACTAAACAGAAGTAGTTAACCCTGAAGGTGTTTAGATGGAGTTCCATCCCAAACGAGGAGGGGCAGGAGAACAGAGGAGAGGTCTAATTGCTAATGGTCCGTTCAGATACCCATGAGTCACCCCTGGTAAACATTTCAGATTATTAACCAGGTGAAGAAAAACAAACTAACAGGAGAGTGGGCTTAACTGACATAGTTTGTTTAGGATGAGACTTCTGTGGGTATCTGAGTTCTGATTCACTAAAATTCTGATGAACTGCCATTGGTCTATCAAACTACTGATGAACAATTAGTATATGAATTTTAAATAGAGTTATTGTAAGTCTTATGAAATGGGATTCTTTTGCACCCTGGCACAAGATCATAAAACAAAGAGCAGGAAGTCACTGCTGTGAGCTGCCGGATCAGTCTGAACTACTCCATTTGATGAAACAATTGGGTCCTCTCCACCTGGACCCAGGCTGTGAAATGCTGCCTTTCCCAACACCCCAAAATAGCAGAAGAATAAGGCAATTGTCACTTTGCTTTGTTTTTATTTCAATGTAACATGCAGTTAAAAAAAAAAAAAAAAAATTAACAGGATTTATTAGCATTTACAATGCTTACCAAAAAAAAAGGACTCTAAAAAGCAATTTAGTTTAGATTTAAGAAATCATTCTAATTTAACACTTACAATAAATCTATTTGCAAATGTTCAGTTTAGACCAAAATTGAAGACTGCATTTGGTAGATATTTATATCTGCTCTCTATTTGCAGTATTTTTATATAACCTCTGATTCTTGGGATATCCAGCCCCCATTTTCCTAACACAGCAGGGAAGACATATACATGTGGCCATTTAAATTAAAGGAAGAAATGGAGTGAGGGAGATCCCAGGCTGCAAAAATATATACAAGCATTTACCTTTTTCCAGAACTAAATGTTTCTTCCATAAAAATATTAAATAGCCAAGCCCTATAGAACTAGGGCCAGGACTACTTCAAATATAACTATTCTGTATTTTAAAAATATAGGGCAGAAAGCCTTTTGGGTGATATTTATACAATTTCACACAATATTTCTAGGTCCCTAAATGAATCATGAAGCATTATGTAGAACGACAACAAGAAGCAGCTATTTTCTTACATTATCTCTTAGTTTAATCTCATAAATCTCTTGTAAATATTGTAGGTAACTACATTTCAATAGGAGAATTCATCTCTAGAGGAGTCTCTATAGGAGGCTTAACTTCCATAGCCATACATCACCAACGGTCAGGCTTGTATAATGAATGGGTAGTTGGCAGACATTCGCTCTGTAAGACAAAGCAATAGCAATTTTTTCTCCCTACCAATAAAAAGGCAGAGAGTCCCTACTTTGAAAACAACTAGGGTTCTGGAGACCATACATTTCCTGGGGTACGTGGAATAAAAAATAAAATAGAGTTGGGGAGAACCTCTTCTCCCTCTTTACACTAACAATCCCTGGCTGAGGCAACCCTCTCACATAAGTCTCTGCTTTATGATGGCAGTGTCATTGAGTACAGATACACAAGTTAAAAAATGTTTGCTGTTGTTTCAGAATTTAAATGGGGACAAAAAGATACCACCTTCCATATGGGATAGGGGTTTATTAGTCTCTGCTTACTCTTGACTCAATACTACTTGTTTCTGCTATGCTACTAAAACCTGTCAAAGTTCTTGTTTCATGAGTTATGAGGCTGTCCCCAGGGTTCAGCTGGCTTAGGCTTCATCCCACTGCCCAAAAAGTAAAATCTATGACAGCAGCTGTCTAAGTTAGGCCAAGTTAAATTAAGTACAGAGAAGTTCAAAGTGCATTAATCGGCTACTAAAGGAGCAATTTAAAATTAAACAGTAATGGGAAAAAAGGAAAACCTAAAGTTTCAAAGGTAAAAATAATACTGCAGGTGAGGGATGTTGATCCAATTTGGGATAATTAAAGAATGGAAGTAATTACTTCAACATGTATCAGAGAAATGATAAATGTGAAGACTTACACAGAGAGAGGATGCATTTCTCTGGTCACCAGACAGGAAAGCCTTTTTGGTCAGGACCATAGCTCTCCCAAATTCAAATGCAATTTCAGAGGAAGTTTCACTGACCTCCATTTAGACTAGAAAGCACTCTGGTTACAACTTGAACTGCTTGGTAATAATTAAATATAACTGACATTGGTGGTTTATGATAAAACTATAAAGATGCAATTTTTTCCCATATAAAAATCTTCACTGATGGCTTTAGAGGAACTTAGCTAAATTAATTCCAATTCTCAGTTACATTTTATAAACAACAATGATGGAACCACAGTGTTAATATTTGTAAAGTTTAGTGTTTGCAAGGCAATTAAAACAATCAAAATTTCCAAATGAGGAGAGGTATGAAGTCATTTGCAGGCTGGGACCGACTTCTCCCTGAATTCAAGCTACTTTGTAGAGAGATGCAAGAGTCCTAGATCACTTCCAGGAATAACATCAAAACGATGCATGGATTCATGCTCCATGAAGGAAAACAACAGTCAGGCCAGGCTGAGGTGAGAGGGAGCGCACAAGCTAGAAGTCTGCTCATGGTCCCAGAAGCTGGGTTAAGTTTGCACTTTGACCAAATACCTCTTAACAAGAGGCTTAATATGAGTATCTTGCACATTGCAGTTACCAAGGGACTTCCCCGCATATCAGCAGAATCTTTAAAAAAATCTACTCCCGAGTGAGACTTTTGACACATGTATACAAAACCGTTGTTAAGGAAACAATCTAATGGAATAAGACAAGGCAGATTTCGTTGCTGTGTTAAATCTCAAGTAAAGTAAGTTCTGACTAGTCGTTTACAGATCTGATTTCTGAAAACGGTGAGCAGAAATCCAGAATCACTGGGAGAGAAACCTCAATGATAACATTCATTTACTTACACACAGATAACTCTCTAAACGACTGTCACAGTCCAATTTACAACAAGATGTGCAACAGGCAAAGAAGGAAAAGGACAAACATAAATGTGTTTTTGTCCTTCAATGGTGCAAATTCTCAGACGCTATTCTTGTCCAAACCCTTCTGTTTCTTCAATGGCAAACAACAGCTTTTCCTTCAGTTGCTCATAACTCTTATAGGGTGGCAGGTCCAGGCGGTTAAAACTAAAAATAAAAATTGTTCGCATGAGAAATGGAAATATACAAAGAATCACATGGGCAGTATACTGTAGCAAAAATGGCTTTAAAATCAGGCAAAATTGGGTGTGAATCCCAGCTCTCACTGGGCCTTTAAGTAAGTACTTTAACCGTTTGCAAGTTTCAGTTTCTCCTTTTGGTAAATGGGAATAATAATAATACCTACCTCTCAAGGCAGAGTAAGGAGCTCATGTGGCGTGGAGGATAAGAGCACTGGCTACTAACCAGAAGGTAGGTGGTTCAAACCCACCAGCCACTCCGTGGAAGGAAGATGGGGTGATCTACTCCTGTAGATCTACAGCCTTGGAAACCCAATGGGGGTCACTATGAGTTGGAATCAACTCGAAGGCAGTGAGTGTGGTTTGGTTTTGGTTTCAGGGCAGAGTAAAGCAGCAGCAAGCACATGACACAGGACTTGGTCCTCAGCAAACCCTCAATAAAATGTCAGTCTTGCTCATGTTCACCCCTCTATCCTAATTCTACTCCAGAGACGAGCAAACCTTCTCTGTAAAGGGCCACCTAGGAAATGGCCAGTAAAAGGACTAGATATCTTAGATTTTCTAGGCCATAAGGTCTCTTTTCAAAAAGTTTTAAGAATACTACTTTAAGAGTAAGAAATGATTTTCTGCTCTAATATTCTGCTACCACTGGATTTCTCTGTCCGATTCCTAGCTTGTGAGCTTTTAAAAAGCATCTTGTAATTTTAGGCCATATCAATATCAGCGTCACAAGGTAACAGATAATGAATTTGCCCTAAAGGTTTGGCCCCCTGATGTATTTATATAAGGCCTAAAAAAATTTCTGATGACAGGGAAATAATACTATCTACAAAGAGAAAATAAACTTACAATGATTTCTTGTTAGCTCTTGTAAATGAAAAACAAAAAACCCGACAAAGTAATGAGGCTACTTTTTATGTGTGACTGAAATAACCTGTTCACAACAGTATAATTATAAATACAGTCTGTTTCAAGTGTGAAAAAAGCAAAAGACTACAGGTCAAACCAAAATACATGTATGTACAAGATCAACATACCCCCCCCCAAACAAAACCCCAACAATTTTATTCCATTTCTATACACTGTTGTTGTTGTTATGTGTCGTCAAATAGGACCTGACTCATAGCGACCCCTCCTTGGGTTTCTGAGGCAGTATCACTACGGAAGTAGACTAACCAACCTTCCTTCCGAGGAGTGGCTGGTGGGTTTGAACCGCCAGCCTTCTGGTTAACAGTCAAATGCCTTAGGTACTCTGCTACCAGTCTGAAAATAAAACTAACAATTCCATTTACAATAGCATCAAAAAGAAAAATTACTTAAGAATAAATTTAAGAAAAGGAGTATAAGACTTGTACTCTGAAAACTTAAAAAAAAAAAAAATTATTGAAAGATTTTAAAAGACTCAAATAAAAGGAAAGACATACTATGTTCCTGGATAGAACACTTAATATTGCTAAGATGGCAATACCGCTCAAATTGATTCAATGCATTCTCTATCAAAATCTGAGATGATTTTGTAGAAAGTGATACATTGATCCTAAAAGACTTTTGGAAATACATGGGATCCAGAAGAGTCAAACAACATTGAAAAAGTTGGAAGACTCACACCTCTCAATTTTAAAACTTATAAAGCCCCAGTCATCAAGACAATGTGGTACTAGCATAAGGATGACATACAATGAAACAGAATTAAGAATCCTGAAATAAACCCCTAATATTTATGGTTAACTAGTTTTTGACAAGGGTATTCAGTGGTAAAAGAATAGTATCTTCAACAAATGGTGCTAAGACAACTGGATTTCCACAAACAAGAGAGTGAAATTGGATCCAAATCTCATACCATACACAAAAATTAACTCATACTGAATCATACACCTAAATGTAAGAGCTGAAACTAGAATCTTTCTGACCTTGGGTAAGAGAATGATTTCTTAGACATGACACCAAAAACACAAGTAACTGAATACAGATAAATTGAACTTCATCAAAATTTAAAACTTTATGCTTCAAAGGATATCATCAAGAAAATAACAAGAAAGACAACCAAAAGATGGGAAAAAAATACTTCCACATTATGTATCTGATGAAAGACTAGTATCCACAATATATAAAGAACTCTTACAACTCAACAATAAAAGACAAATTAAAAAATGAGCAAAGGATAGACAGGTCTACAAAGAGGATATAGAAATGGCTAATAATCACATGGAAAGATGTTCAACATCAAGAATCATCAGGGAAATACAAATCAAAACCAAAATGTCATGCTACTTCAAACACGTCAGGGTGGCTATAATAACAAAGATGAGAATGTGGAGAAACTGCTGGTGGGAATGTAAAACGGTATACTGGCTTTGGAAAACAGGTTGGCAGTTAATCAAAACATTAGACAGTTACCATATGACGCAGCAATTCCAATCCTAGGTATATACACAAGAGAAATAAAAACATACAATTACCTTGACAACTTGTACGTGAATGTTCCCAGAAGGATTATTCATAATAGCAAGAAAATGGAAATAACCTAAATGTTCAGCAAGTAAAGACTGGATGAATAAAATGTGGTGTATCCACACAACGAAGTTTTAAAAACTCACAGCTGTCGAGTCGGATCCGACTCATAGCGACCCCTCCTTACGTTTCCCAGGCAGTATCACTATGGAAGTGGATTGCCCAACCTTCCTTCCAAAGAGCAGCTGGTGGGTTTGAACCGCCAGCCTTCTGGTTAGCAAAAAGAAATGAAGTACTGATATATGCTACAACATGGATGAACCTTGGAAACAATATCCTGATAGACACAAAAGGCAACACATTATATGATTCCATTTATATGAAATATACGGAATAGGCAAATCCATAGAGACAGAAAATAGCTGAATAGTTACTACGGGCTGAGGGCAGTTGGGGGAAATGGGGAGTGATTGCTAATGGGTGTGAGGTTTCTCTTTGGGGTGAAAAAATGTTCTAGAACTAGATAGTGGTGATGGTTGCATGACCTTGTGAATATGTTGAACAACGAATTGTGTACTTTACAAATTTTATAGGGTATGAATTATATCTCAACAAAGTTTTATTTAAAAAGCACCACATGTATGTGTATATAGGAAAGTATAAAAGAACAGACAATAAATTAGTAAAAATGTTAGATGGTGAAAATACAGGAATACACAAGATTCATCTATGACCACTGAAATTATGCCTCACAAAATAAAGTTAAAATACTGTTGATATAAGGCCTAATAAGTTAACGTGTTTGGGGTAAAATTAAGATTGGCTTTAATTTGCTACATTTTTGGAAATGTGGATAAACTTAATGGGAAAAGAGTGTTTCTGATGACCATGTTAGAAAGTAATCTTTTAATAATTACTTAGACTTTCATTTTTCTCCCTGACTTCAGAGAAAAGTTAAAAGACTCAGGTGTGGGAAAAGAGAATGAAAGCCAGTGGGCAAAAGGGCAAGCTGTTCTGGAGGGATGGAAGTGCTTACAAATGGGCTGCTGTGATGGCCACATTACTCTGCAGATCTCCTAAAAACCACTGAATTACATATTTAAAATGAGGAAATATTACATGTAAATCATGCCTCAATAAAGTTGTTAAAAAAGATTTCATTTCTTATCTAACAAGCTATTAATAGTTATAGGAGACCCGGAAAAAAGACTATTTATTTACTCTTTCTGACTTTACTCACCAGGTATGACTTCTGGGTAACCAATTTTCTTTCCCAACTTTTTCAATGCAAAACTTCTGTGGTCCATTGCTCCCTGTAATAGAAATAGTTTGTCAACACAGTGGTTCTCAAAGTGTGGTCCCCAGTCCAGCAGCATCAGCATCACCAAGGAACTTATCAGAATGGCAAATCCCACCTCAGACTACTGAGTTAGAAACTCTGGGGGTATGGTTCAGTGATATGTGTTTTAACAAGCTTCCAGGGTGATTCTAATGAGCACTAAAGCTTGAGAACCAATGTGTTGTTAATATATGCAACTTCATATATTGAATAAAACAACCCATAGCGAGAAAAACACAGCGTCATGATGAATTAGTAACAGCTTACGTAAGAAGAGAACACAGAAAAACATCATTTTAGCTTATTTTTCAGAAATACATTGCCAGGCCTTTCTTCCAAGGCACTTCTGGGTAGATTCCAACCTATAATCTTTCAAGTAGCAGCAGAGTCCATTAACCATGTGCACCATGCAGGGACACCACAAACATCCCAATAAATTCAAAATTAACCATGCTCAGGAATTCTGTGCTTATAGGTTCTATAGGACATACCCTTTCTAATTCAAACACACACACAAACACCCAAATTTATGCTTCTCATTTACTTTCTGCTGGACAGAATAGTGACCTTAAATCTTGACTTTTTTAAAAGGTCAGTGCTGCTCCCTAAAGAGCTCTGATGATGCAGTGGTTAAGGCATTTGACTGCTAACCAAAAGGTTGGCAGTTCAAACCCAACAGCTACTCCGTGGAAGAAAGATGAGGCAGTCTGCTCCCATAAAGATTTACAGCATTGGACGCCCAATAGGGGATGTTATGAGTTGTAATTGACTTGATAGCAGTGGGTGGGCGTTTTTTTTAAAAATTGTGATTTGGGTGAAAATTTACAGCGCAAGTTCACTTTCCATACAGCAATTCACATACATTTTGTCTCATGACATTGACAATTTACCACAATGGATTTTTTTTTAAGGGAGCCTTTACTGGTGGTCACAAAGATTGATAGTGTGATTGGTTCTTTCAATTGACTGTGCTTTAGGTGCAAATTTACTGAGCAGAATTTGTTTTACATTCAACATCTCGTGTACATTTGATTTCACTCCCCAATTACCATCCCCAACCCTAACTCACTTTCCTCTTCTCCCCTCTCAGTGACCTCCCCGCGCCCTGTGCCCTTCATAGTTATGCACTCCTGTGTGTCCTGCTTTTCCTTCCTGTGAATGTTGCCCCTCTGATGCCCCATAGCCAATTGCTCCAAGGGATGTATCTTTGTTGAGTCTGTGGGTGCATCACCCTGGATTGAGTATTCTGCATATAAGTCTTATTTACTGTTGGGCTGAGAGCTAGGCCTTGGGAGTGAGTTTTATCCCAGGCCCGGAGTGCATCCCAGGGCCATAGTCTTGGGGGTCCCACCAGACTCCACCCGACTAGTAATTCTGGTCATTATTGTGTTTTTGGATTTTGTTCCATCTTCTTCCTCCCACTCTATCTGGGATCTCCAGTTTTGATCCCTTCCCAAGTGTTTGGCATTGGAAGTCAGGCACCGTCTAGTTCTTCTGGTCTCGAGGTCCATCATGTCCTAGGGGGATTGTTTCCAAATGCCCTTGGTTTTCTTCACTCTTCTTCACTTTCAATGATAGCAGACCACTAGCTGCATCTTAGATGGCCTCCTGAAAGTTTTTAAGACCCCCGTTGCTACTCACCAATATAGGTTGTGGAACAAGATTTTTATGTATTTTGTTGTGCCAAATGAGTCTGGTGTCCCCCAATACCATGGTCCTGAGCTGGTAGATCCGTTGGATCTCTCTCCTCTATGTCTGTCTTCTGTTGTTTCTGTAATGATTGCAGGCATTTTGTATCACTGGTATCTGTGCGAGATTAGCCTCAGCTGAATCTATCTTTGGTCTAGAGTATAATCCTGTTCATTGACCCCCATCCGATCTTCTCAGTTGTTTATGTGTTTATCCGTAGCCTGGTGTTTGGTGTTAATGGCAATGCAATATTGTGGATATACTGGTATTAGCTTCAGTCATCTATATCTCATGTGCACAATTCGGTGTCCTCTCTTTCCTCGATGTGGATTTTTTTTAAAATTTATTTATTCTTTATTATTATGATTTGAGTGAAAGTTTACAGAGCAAATTGGTTTTCCATTCAACCATCCACACACATTGTTCTGGTTACCTAGTACCACTCTGATGGGAATATACCACAAATGTGGATGGCTTGAACAAACAGGAGTTTATTCTTACAATTTGGAGGCTTTAAGTCTGAGTTCAAAGTACCAGGCTCTAGGGGCTGGGTGAAAGCCCCTCAACCTTGGGGTCCAGCTCTGCCTCCTGCTCCCGGCCCGCTGGAGCTAGAGGCGTTTCTTCACTCAGACAGCTGCAGGCTGCTGAGGCTGAGAAGCCCCAAGGTTGACAAGTCAAAAGGCACAGTCCTGGTGTTACCAAACCACATGGCAGGCCATTAACTTAAGTCCACTGCAAGTCCTAAGGTCGGCAAGCACGGCAGGCTGCTGAGCAACAACACGGCTACATGGAGGGTCCAAGTGTGCCATAAGCTTGAGACCATTCCCCAAGGCTCTGCTTATATATAGGAAGCAGACCACATTCCCTGAGGCAGCTACTCAGCTGCTCACAGTAGATTCCACCATGGAGCTGATTGCCAGTCTCATCATGGGGAATCCTACATCCAGCTGCCTAGTCACTCAACCAGGCTCAGCCAAGTTGACACACAAACTGAACTACCACATACACCATTTTGCGACATTGACTGCAACCCCCACATTGTAACAGCATTCTTCCCACTTTCTCCCTGTGCCCACCCCTTCCGTACCGCCTATGCCTTTGCACCTTCCCTGCTCTGTCCCTGGGCGAATGCTGTCCCCTGATCTCACATGCTTAACTGTGCTAATTGGTGCATACCCTCCCTCATACTACTTTTCACCTATAGGCCTGTCTATTGTTTGGCTGTCAATTGAGTCACAGGGATTAAGTTCAGTTCCTACCCTGAAGGGTATCTAAGGGCTATAGTTTTGGGGGTTCCACCAGTCTTGATCAGACCAGTAAGCCTAGTTTTTTTTTTTTTAAATGATTTTAAGTTTAGTTCCACATCCTCCCCCACTGTATCTGGGACCTCTTATTGTGTTCCCTTTCATAGCGGTGAGCAGTGGTAGCATGGCACTGTCTAGTTCTTCTGGTCTCAGCATTGTGGAGGCTGGGGTGCACACGCCCCATTATTCCTTTGGACTACTTGTTTTCTTCCACCTTTGATTTCTTTACTCTTCTTTGCTCCAAACAGGGAGAGACCAGTAGTTGTACCTAGATGGTCACTCATAAGCTTTTAAGACCCCGTGACTGGACTTTTTAATTAGATGGGGTCTGAGACACTAAATACTCTGTAATGTATGGGATAGTCCTCCACAAATAATCCTGTCTCACTCAACTAAACATAAATTGTACAAACATAAATTGTTAGTACTTTTGTATCAAATAATATTTGATTGTTTTTACAAGTAATTATGTGAAAAGTTCAGTAATACAAGAAAGTCATTATGAAGAAAGAAATTAAAAATGATTAAATAATTAAGCTTGAAATTATTAAATCATTTACTTACTCTGCACATTCTCTCTACTCAGTCTATCTCTAACCACATAGTTAAAAAGGAGTTTAGTTCAGTGGTGCTAATAATATGTAACAGAAGGTTCTGGTTTTAACAGACTGAGAATCAAATATTATAATACCAGAAACACATTTGAAATGAATTTATGGAATTTCATTAATAAAGGCTGTTTTATAAATATACCATATTACTACAATCCTGGATATTTCCTAAAATTTTACAGAACAATGAGTTTTGAAAAATCTACATGTAAAATTTATATACTGAAACTATTTTTAGATTGCCGTTGTTTTCAATCTTACTCTGACACTGTCACTACACGTCTCGCACTATCCTCTGTGTAGAATGCTGAATATGTATTTCTATTCTTACCTAGCTTTCAAATGACATAGCCTCCCAGGCCTTTTTAAATCTTGGCCTGCAGTGGAATTTCATAATAAACCTACTGCCACTGAGTCAATTTCGACCCACAGCAACCCCATCAGGTTTCTAAGATGGTCAATCTTTAAGGAAACAGATTGCCCCATCTTCTTCGGACCAGCTGGTAGAGTTGAACCGCCCACCTTCTGGTTAGCAGTCTAATGCCTTAGGCACTGTGTCACCAGAGCTCCTTGGAAGTTCATGATAGGAGGTATTTTTTCTATGCATTCATTACCAATGTTACAGCACTGGGAATTATTTTGATATTACCCTTTTAAATAAGTGTTATCTCATTTTTTTCTTCACTTTGACACTCTATATTTTATTTTGGCAGGTATATTATCCCTACCTTATTTAGGTTACATCCTTCTTTTTCTTATCATAGATATTTAAATTTAAATCTGTTATTTCCTATCTTAATTTAAATCTGTTATTTCCTATCTTTTCCCTCTGTTCTTTCATTTGCTTACTTTTATACACATAATGGCTTCTGATCTCTTAAACCCAAATATTTTCATTAAGGACAAGTATCTGTCTAGGAGCCCTGGTAGCATAGTGCCTAAGGCACTTGACTGCTAACCAGAAGGTTGGCGGTTCAAACCCACCAGCCACTCCTCGGAAGGAAGGTTGGGCAATCCTACTTCCGTAGTGATACTGCCTCGGAAACCCAAGGAGGGGTCGCTAAGAGTCGGGGCTGACTCGACGGCAAATAACAACAACAACAACAACAATATAGTTGTTCCCAAATATTCATGTACTGAAATACGTATTAGTTCATTACAAATCATTTATTTCTCTTTTATGTTATAATTAAAGGAGCTCTGGTGGTGTAGTGGTTAAGGCACATGGCTGCTAACCAAAAGGCCAGTGTTCAAATCCACCAGCTGCTCTGCAGAAGAAAGATGAAGCAGCCTGCTTCCATAAAGATTTACAGCCTTGGAAACCCAAGGGAGTCACTATGAGTTGGAAACGACTTGATGGCAGTGAGTTGGGTTGTGTTACAATTGGTGCTATGTAGGTGTGTATTTTAGAAATTTTAAGAAAGTTATTTCATCTATCACTTTTATTTAAGAATAGTAAAGTAGATATAAGTATTTGTTATAAATAACAGAATGTTGGCTCTGATCAGATTGAAACACTAAAGAATTATATATATTACTCTTAGAACTTTTCACTTGGTGGAAGGTTAAACCAGAGGCCTCTGAAGTCTCCGAATCACCTTACTGTCTCTGTCCTCCAGAGGTATCCTGTGTGGTTTCAGGCAGCTCTACCCAACCCCAAATATTATTCCCAAGAACAGACCTAGTTTTCTTCTCTTTAATGATTAGATTTCCAGTTTATATTGAGAAGCTTGTACCATTTTTTTCTCATTTTGGTCACTACTACTTTTCTCCCCAACCCCCAAAATGGTTTCTTTCTCCTTCAAACTAAAGTGCATCCTCAAAGATGCCCCTCTAAAAACTTCCTTAGAAACTGTCCTTCTCTGAGACCTCTGTAGCACTGGATACAAACTCCCTTCTATATTAGCTTCTGAGAGACTGTACTATTTATTTCGCTTGTTTACTCTCTTATCTTTTCCTGTAAGTACGCTTCCAGGCTATTTCTGTCACATACTTAAATACAGGTGTTTCTAAGCACTGACCCCCTAAACTTCTCTGTCTTCTATTTCTGCAGAAGACTACCCATTCTCACAGCTTCAAATGTCACGACTCTGATGGCTCAACCATCCCTTCTCTATTCTTACATTTCTCACTGGTACTTGAGCACCACCTTTACTTTTACTTCTCTGTTGGTTACCTTAAACTCAGGAGGTTCTGACACTCAGTGTCCTTCCCCAACTTCCATACCATGTTCTCTTTCATAACTGCCCTATTAATCTATGTCATAACTTGGAGTTACTTTGACACTCCTCCTTTAACCCTTATCTTCCCAACATCGTCCTACTTCTACGTATTTCTCCCTATAGAACTGCCCTAGCATTTATACCCTCAATTTCCACTTCCATTTCCTAAGATCAGGTTCTCATCATTGCTGCAATAATTTATTTCCATCTCCAGGCTCTCCCCATCTTTAAAGTACCTTCTCTACATCTTGCTATCAATTCTTCCTAAAATGCTGCTTCAGTAAGTTTATTCTTCTGTTCAAAAAGTTCCCATAGCTTGCAATACGCTCAGGTTAACGTCTAACCTCCTTGGTGTGGCTTTTAGTCTTTGTTAATCTGGTTCTATATTCTGTACGCAGAATTCTGTACTCAGTTCTCTAATCTTGACCCTCTTTTTAGCTACGAAGTGTTCCACAAGGATGTCTTAGTATCTTCATTTCTGTTATCCCCCACCTATAAAACACACTACACATAAATATAGGCTTGATTCAACTCATTTTTTTTAAACGTGCCTTCCTTGACTATTCTAACCATATGATTTTTCTGTTGTTTGAATTATTACATTTACTGTTTTTAAGACCCAAATTTGATGGACAAGTATTGTCATTTAATGGCTTAATAATATTAGTCCACAAGCTTAGGAGTCACCGTCTCTCTGTATGTCTTCATAGGGTACTTGGGAAATTCTATCATTAAAGAAATACTTGAATTTACTTAATTTTTTATTTAGTCATAAAATAAATATTCTCATGGGCATTCATTTTGAAACAATGCTTATTTTAATCAGTGACTACAATGTAACAGGCACTCTAACAGAAATTTTAAAAATGATGAAGATATGGATTTATATCTCTAGGAGCTCCTAGTCTAATAAGGAATAGTGGCAAACACATCATTAAAATACAGTATAATGCAACCCATAGCGCATGGCTCACAAGAGACACTGAAATGTCTGCCAAACAAGCAAGCAGATTTACTCCTATCTAGACTCCTGAATTGAAATGTGAGATACAGCCTGAAGTTCTAAATGTCACAGAGGTAAGGAGTATGAAATGATTTAAGTTTACACAAACACAGGTTAACTGTGACTAGTAAAGAAAATAGTTTATACTCATCTTTGTTATTTGTTAATGTTTATGCAATAGTAGTATGATACCCAAGTTCCTGTATAGGAAAGCTGATGCTGTATACATACCCATGAGGTCAGCAAATCCTCCAACTGGCAATCGGCAAGTTCCAGTTACAAACTGTAGAAGTCTCATTCTCTTCTCATTATCGATTTCTTTAACAAACTATTAAAAACACATTTTGTAGATCATATGTTTAGCATACTAAACCCCCCAAAAAAAGACAAAAAACATTTCACATTTTAAACAAAGCCCTGGTGTCAGGCATTAGATAATGACTGCACCCAAAACTGTGGATGTAGGAGCATCTTCATGTTTGTCAAAGCACCACTCATTTTCCCTTATAAATATCTTAGGACCACATCCTTACCCCACTGCCGTCAAGTCAATTCCAACTCATAGTGACCCTATAGGACAGAACAGAACTGCCCCATAGGGTCTTGAAGGCTGTAAATCTTTATGGAAGCAGACTGCCTCATCCTTCTACCAAAGAGCAGCTGGTGGGTTCAAACCACCAACCTGTTGGCTAGCAGCCAAATGTCTTAATCAGAGTCACCAGAGAGCCTGCATCCCTATAAGTAAATAGAAAAAGAAGGATACCCTAGGCCCAAGAGGCCTCTTCTCATGCAATCCCAAGATTAGCTTTTCTAGGGCAGCTTTTCCCTTTTCCCCCTAGATTTCCTGTCCAACAGGACATTCATGTGGTGACATAAGGTACAGAACTTGATTTGGAACAGACATTTTGGTTTCATGAATAAAATTAAGCTCACAGAATGCTAACCCAGACACATCCCAATAACCTCATTCCCTCACCGTCTTTCAGGTTTCGGTGCAGCCATGCACACCCAGAATTATCTGGCCTTCACCTCTCACCACTCTGAATCAAAACATCCGAAGATATTTTCTAAGCGGCAGCACTTCTATAGCACAACTCTTGGCTCTGTCAAACAGCTTTTGTAAAGAACAATTTTTACCCTATTATACCATTGTTAATTATTTTAAAATGCTAATCCTACTTGTTACAGAGGCTCAATTAATCTTTGAGTTACCTATATGAATTTCTTTACATGTATAGCCAACATTTTTTTGAAAAGATACCATGATTCTAAATAATATCTGTAAGTTTTGTCTCCTGAACATTATTTAATTCTTCAAAAGATGAAAACCATACTTTCAACAGTTTTATAAAAATCCAAAACATTCAGATTAAACGCAGATGAATTTTTTTATCATCTGGTTTGACTGTTAACCAAAAGGCTGGTGGTTCAAACCCATCAGGCACTCCTTATAAGGAAGGCTGGACAATCTATTTCTGTAGTGATACCTCCTCGGAAATCCAAGGAGGCGTTGCTATGAGTCGGATCTGACTCGATGGCAGTGCGTTGTGTTGTTGCGTTGGAGCTGTTACGGTATGTGGCTTAATTTGGCAATAGACTTGAAAGGATGCTATTATAATCAGTATAATCTACTTATTTAATATATAGCATGAACAGCAGAGCTTGCACACATTGGTACACTTTGTTCTGTGATTCATTTCGATATGTAATAAGCAATGTGTAAAAAAAATTATAGTGTCTCCCAGTAGAAATAAATTAAGAGACAAACCTGCCAAAACCACATGATTTGCTTGCTTGTCCTCGTGTAATGACGGTAGATGGCGTGTCTTTGCCAGTCATTTAAATCAATCTCTTGCATTCCACATAAAAGGACCTTTAGGGAAGACAAAGATAATTTTTTTTTTTTTAAGATAATTCTAAAACCTATCTACAAATGCTAGACATAGATAAGAACATACTAATATTACTCAGGAGGCTTTGGCTTCTCAACTGCATCAAGAATGGTCTCTATATTACTCATGAAGTTAAGTTTCTATGTGTGGTGTCATATATACACATACTGAAGGAAATATGTCACTCATAATAGAGCAACCTTCATAGAAATATGTATTTTCTTTTTTGGGGGAGTTAATACTATTCTTTTATCTTTGAATAAATATGAATTTTTAACCACTGGGATGCTTTAACACATCCTGGCAAAGTAAATACCACTACCACCACTAGATAGATGGCACCTGAAGGCATTATTTACCAGCATGCTACAGGATAAAGAAGAAAAACCTGTTACCTCTAATTCTTTTGCGTCAAAGTATTGCAAATATTGCTGAGGAAGGATTTCATTAAAGCCCTCAAAGAAAGCCTGTGTCTGTTCTTCAACACCTCGAGACAACCTCCATTCAGCTACCATTCTGGAAAGTAAAATAAAAAGCCATCTACTAGGAAGCTGAGATTTTACCTGTAAAATTCTGTGTATATAAATGACTTCTGAAAACTTTTATTACTATAAGACACCTCAAATATACACAAAAACATAGCAAATAATGTAATGAGCCCCATGTACAAATCTCCCAGCTTCAATACAAGGCCAATCTCATATTCCATCTATGCCCCCACCCAAACCCTATCATTTTAAATGTAAATATTTCAGTAATATTTCTACAAAATATGCTCTTTTTAAAAATATAATCACAATACCATTACCACACCAAAAAAATTAACAGTAATTCCTTAACATCAAACATTCAGTGTTCAAATTCTCCTGATTGACATAACTTTATTTTAGTTTATCGTTTGGATCAGAATCCGAAAAGCTCATACACAGCACGTCTCTTATATTTTTTAATTTACAGATTTTTCTCTCTTCTTTTGCAATGTTTAATGAAAGTATCTTTAAAGAAAATTCTCCTCCATCAAACATTACAGATTTCAACTTTTCCTTTCTTCTACTCTTATCTACATATATACATCTTAAAAGAGTTAAAATAAAAAAATAAGCTGATTTTCCCCCCCATTTTGTTGTAAAGAACATTTACTTATTAAAAAGTTAGTGCCAGGAAGGTGTATTTTAGTTATGTGATTATTTGATAACAACTTACGGCAACTTTTAGAGTCCTAAAAGTTAACTGTAAACTCTGTAAAATTTTGGAAAATAGTAGTGTATGTTGTATTAAACTAATTCTCCTACTGATAACAATGACGAATTCTAGGAAAACTATAAAAAACAAAGAACAAAGCAACCATGAGGTTGAGAGGATGAAGCTGCCAAAGCAGCAGGTGGGAAATTTCCAAAAACAATAGAGACCACCAAGACCATGTTCTACATCACACTTTAGTGAGTGGTGACTGGGGTCTTAAAAGCTTGCCTGAAGCCGTCTCATGGTCAACTATTAGTCTGTCCTGTCAGGAACAAAGAAAAGTGAAGAAAACAAAGAGGCAGGAAACAATTAGTCCAAAGGACTAATGGATCACATGAACCCAGCCCCCATGACCCTGAGACCAGAAGAACTAGATGGTACCCAACTACCATTGCTGACTGCTCTGAAAGGGATCACAACAGGAGGTCTTGGACAGAGTGGGGAAAAAAACATGGAACAAAATTCAAAATCATTAAAAAAAAAAAAAGCCCAGGCTTACTGGTCTGCTACAGACTGATGGAACCCCTAAGATTATGGCCCTTAGACATTCTTAATGTTGGGAACTGAACTTACTCTTATGCTCACCACCAGGGAGGTAAATACTCATTAGAACAATCAACCACACGAGATCAAAAGGGCAGTATTTGCTAGGGATAAAGCTCAGAAGGCAGGAAGGGATAGGAAAGAAGGGTGAAGGGAAATGGTAAACACAGAGAAGTGGAGAAAAATGCTGTTACATTTTGAGGATGACAAATGAATGTCATAAAACAAGATGTATATTAAAATAAATGTGTATGAATTGTTGAGTGGAAAACCAATTTGCTCTGTAAACTTTCACTTGAATCACAGTAAAAAAAAAAATACATTAAAAAAAAAAAATGAAGAAAAGAATGGTGACCCAGAGAAGGAGCCCTTAAATGTGCATACAAATTCACCTCAAAATCCTACTGGTTCCTAAATTGCACAAGTATAAGATAATGTCAGAATCAACTCAATGGCACCAAACAACTGGATGATGAGACTTCAAAAAATCCTGTGGAAAGAAACACCTAGAAAGCTAAAGACCTAAACATAAATATAAGGAACTACCTACCTAATGCTAAGGAGCTCTGGTGGCGCAGTGCCTAAGATATTTGACTGCTAACCAGAAGGCTGGTGGTTCAAACTCACCAGCCACTCCTTGGAAGGAAGACTGGGCAATCTACTTCCATAGAGAAACCACCTCAGAAACCCAAGGAGGGGTCGCTATGGGTCAGAATTGACTCAATGGCAGAGTTTTTGTTTTTGTTTTTTTTGATACCTAGTGCTAGAGAGACAGAATTTAAGAATTTCCATCTCACAGAGTTAAAGGGGCTCACATTTTGAGCTTTCCCTTGAGACCTCAGAAAGGTCACAACTTAGGAAGAAGGACCATATACCAGGAATAAGGGTTATGTTCTAAGACGGGCGGCAAAATGGAAACAGACCAGCTTTAGCAAGAAAGTGATATGCCCTTAATATATGTACCTGCCAGAATAAAATGCAACACTTTCTAGAGAAGAAAAAAGAATCCAGAGTCTGTATCATATATCATCCATTAAAAAAAAAAAAAAACCCACTACACATACAAGGAATAAACTACCACCCAGAATCAAAAGGAGAGTCTATATAATAAGGCTCATTGATGACTCAATGCTGCAGTTAGCAAAGACTTTCAAAGAGTTATTTTAAAATGTATTAAAGAAGTTATAGAAAAATATGGATAAATGAGTAAAGAGATGGGGACTGTCAGCCAAAAAATGGAAATCCTAAAAATAACCAAATAGACATTCTAAAATATCTGAATATCTGAAATGATAATTTCATTACATATGTTAAGGAGCAGATGATTCATCGGAAGCAAAAAATCAGTGAATGCAGAGGTAGGTCAATCAAAATTGTCCAGGAAAAAGAAAGGCAAAAAAGAACTCTTCTGAAACCTATGGGATGATGGCAAGAGTCATACATATATAATTAAAATCACTGAAGTAATTGAAGTAATGCAGAGAAGGAATAAGGCAAAAGGAACATCTATAAAGTCCAAAAAATTTCCACAACTGATGAAATGCCATCAACCACTGATCCAACAAGCTCCACAAATATCAAGAAAGATAAATAAATACAAAAGCAATCACACTTAGGCATATCATAGTCAAACAGCTAAAAATGAAAGAGAAAATCTTTTTAAAAGCAAAGAGAAAAAACATACATTTTATTCATAAAAACAAGACCAATGATTCCCATTATCAAAAACCATGGAAGCCAACAATGACTTTGTTGAAAAAAAGAGAAAATGCTGGGGGAAAACCCAAAAAACTTCAACCTAGAATTCTGTATCTAGTGAAAGTATCTTTCAAAACTGAAGGTGAAATAAAGATGCTTTCCAATAAAAACTGAGAGAATTAACTGCCAGCAAATGCACACGAAGAGAAATGCTAAACAACATGATTGAAGCTGAAGGAAAGTAATTATGAAGAGGGCAAGAAATGGAAACAGAATACAATTTAAATGCATGAATCGTAAGCTATGTGAAGTAGACCACGACAAAACTGTTTTAAAATGTGATTTGGGTGAAAGTTTATAGAACAAATTTGTTTTCCATTCAACAGTTCATATACACTTTGTTTCATGATGACTGCAGAACCCACAATGTAATAACAGCTCTCTTCCCACTTTATCCCTGTGCCCCTTCCTATGCATTCCCGCCCTCTGAGCTGCCTCCCAGAGCAGATGCTGCCCTTCTGATTTCCCCTCCTTCATTGTTCTAAGGAGTGTACTGGTTTCTTTCTTTCTTTTTTAAAAGGTCCTATTTGTTCAATTTTCTTAATGAGTTCAGGTCTTCAAAAACAAACCAATTATTCAGAACATATAAAGACTATTACAAATCAATAACAAAAGGCAAACCAATTACAAAATGGACAAAAGATTTGAACAGACATTTCAGAAGAGAACTACAAATAAACAATATGCAGTGAGATGATACTCAGCACCACTGTGAAGGAGAAATGCAAATTAAAACCACAATAAGACATCACTGGCAATACGGTATTGGTGAGAATGTGAAGCCACGTTCGTACATTGCTAGTAGGACTTTAAAATGTTATACAACCACTTTAAGAAACTATTTGGCAGTTTCTAATGAAGTTGAACATTTACTTTATTTACAACCTAGTGATTCCACTCCTAGGTATTTTATCCAAAAGAAATGAAAACATACGTCCACAAAAAAATTCAACAAAAATGTTCAGTTTTACTCATTATAGTACCAAATTGGAAAACAATCCAAATGTCCATTAACAAGAGTATGGATATACAAATTGTGCTATATACACAGAATGGAGTATTTCTCAGGGAAAAAAAAAAAGAACAAAATACTGATATACACAATAACATGGCTAAATATCACAAGTGTTGAATAAAAGAAACCAGACTTATAAGAGTATATACTATATGATTTCATTTATAAAAAGTTCCACAAAAGAAAAAATTTATAGTTAGAGAAACAGAATTATGGTTATCTCTCGGCCAAGAAAAGGGAAATGACTACAAAAGGATAAGGGAAATATGTTGCACAGTATGATTTGGGTCATGTTTATATGGGTATATACATTTGTCAAAACAAAGCACTAGAAAATACTTTTTAAAAAAATATGAAAACTTAAGCAAACTAGCAGTGAAGTAGACATTAAAATGTTCTTTACTGTCCATTACTATAAAATGTTATATATCCACTCTTCCACTTACCAACATGGCTAGGTTCCAAAAACTAGGTGTTGTTGTTGGTTGTTGGTATATGCCGTCGAGTCAGACCTGACTCATAGCGACCCCTCCTTGGGTTTCCGAGGCAGTATCACTACGGAAGTAGATTGCCCCATCTTCCTTCCGAGGAGTGGCTGGTGGGTTTGAACCGCCAGCCTTCTGGTTAGCAGTCAAGTGCCTTAGCCACTATGCTACCAGAGCTCCCAAAGACTAGGTAGTTATGTGAAAATCGGTGTTACGCAAAAATGGAAGATGACCACATCAGATCACAAAATGAAGAATGACTACATCATTCCACAGCTGCCAAACCACTGAGAATTATGGCCCAGTCAAGTTGACACATAACCTTACCTATCACAGCCAGCATTACTCTCCCCTTGCACCTCAGTGTTTGTTATTGATATTAATGAGCAAAACTGTCAGACAGTAGATTTCTGTATTAGTATTGTAAACGCAAAATGCAAATAATGAGATAATTAAGTTAGAAGTAGGTGTATTCCACTAACCACAGTCCTGGGAAATACAGTAACATCTCTTGTTTTCCTGTAACCTTGAATCATCCTCTACCTAGAGTACCACTGATACAAAGGAAACACTGGAGAAAGAATTAACTAATTAATCAAATTGTTTAAAAGATTGACTACCAACAAATAATGACTGTCCGGTTTAAAAGGTTTGCGTATTAGTAACTGTTAGTTGTGCACTTTTAACTATGGAGGGCAAAGTAGGTAAGAGACCCAGAAACTGGAACTAGAGATGAAACAGCTATGCCAACTTTAACCCTGATCTGACCAAACTGGTGATGACAAGAGACTAGCAGTATAAACCAAAGCAAAGCCAATAGTGAAGGCACACTGTAAACCATCATTTAAATGTAAAAGTTAAAAGACAGTAATAGTCTCCATAAAAACATCTGTATGTAAATTTGAGATTCTTTTCTATGACATGATGTTCTATGGCATAGTTACTACAGAATCAGTACTTAAAGAGGGACTACGCTTTTTTTTAAAAAAAATTTTTATTGTGATCTGGGTGAAAGTTTACAGAGCAAACTCATTTTCCATACTGCAGTTCATACACATTTTGTTTCAAGACATTGACTGAAATCCCCCACAATGTAACAGCTCTCTCCCCACTTCCTCCCGTAGTTACTTCCTCCCTGTGCCCTTCTTTCCTATGCATTCCTGCCCCCTGAACTATCTCCTTGTGCAAATACGGTCCTTCTGTTCTCCCATGGTTGATTGGTCTAAGGAGTGTACCTACCTGATGCAAATGTTCACCCTATATGCCTGTCTATTGTTTGGCTGGAAGCCTCGAGAGTGAGTTCAATTCCAGGCCTAAAGGTTGACTAAGAGGCCATAGTACCGGGGGTTTCCCCAGGCTCCATCAGACCAGTAAGCCTGAACTTTTTATGATTTTGAGTTTTGTTCCATATTATTCGAACCACACTATCCAGGATCTCCTGCTCTGTTATCTTTCAGAGTGGTTGACAGTATTAGCCAGGCACCATCTAGTTCTTCTGGTCTTGTGGTCATACAGGCTGAGGTTCACATGTTCCATTAGTCTCTTGGACTAAAGGTTTCCATGTGTTTTTGGTTTTCTTCATCTTCCTTTGCTCCAGATGAGGAGAGATCAATTGTTGCAACCAGATGGCTGTTTGCAAGCTTTTAAGACCCCAATCTAGGCTATTTCTACCTCTAAAACTCCACTTGGACTGAAACTAGAAATATGTTCCTATATAGATAGGATAATTTGGAGAAACAACAGAAGTTCCCCATGGCCCAGCTGTCTGCTTTAATGAATCTTGAAAGTTCTGGTTAAAATGAAACAGATCCGAAAGGGGATGTAAATCACCTATTAGACTAGTTATTTTTAAGATTTAGTTCAAATTAACTTAGAGGATATTTCCTCTAATTAGTTTCCTCTACAAGAATCTGTCACTGCTATGCTGCCAGGTTTATTGAAAGAGAAAAGACAGATTTTATCCTAAATATACTCCTTAATTTCCTGTAACCTGGCTCCTAAACCCAACTAGCTACAGTTCTAACTATATTCTATTAAAAGTCACTTATTAGCCTCCACATCTTCTTGGATTCTTCCTTTACATCAGCTTCTGAAATGTAAGACATGGCAGAGTGGGATTGAACTCAGAGCCACCCAACTCTGAACCACACATTACAGCTACTCTTCCCTATTTATTATTTATGAATTATGCTTTCCATTCTCCATATTTATTCTCATAACTTTTGCTCCCATTTCTGCAAAACTGAATCTTCCCCAACCTTCAGGGTTCAACTGAAATTTCATCAGCTCTTTGCTCCATGGTAATATCTAGATGAAAATAATATTCCTCCTCCTTTGACCTCCTTTAGCACATTCCCTTTTCTCTCTCCCTGTATTTATAAAGGTAGAAAATGATCTACGGTGTCCTTAATAATATATGAACATTCTCATAATCATTAGTATAACTGCAAATGTTACCATTTTAAATACTGTCCATTAGTATTACTAGGCAATTACAAATGTACTGTGGTCTAAGAGAAAGCCTAAACATGTCTAAAGAGGTATTCTTTCTTACCTGATATATTCCTCTTTGTTTTCTTCTGTTACAAGAATATTGCCACCATTGGGTTTCAAATCATGACTCTTAATTTCACCTAGAATTTCCTTATCAACTGAGAAGTACATTTCCAAACCACATTCTTCAATATTGTTTTCCCTGAAAAAATAAAATCAACACTATTTGTTATGTTCAACTCAATAATAACTTAAAGGTATTTTAATTTAAAGGTCTAGATCCTTAAATCATTAATAAGTTGTAACATCAAAGTAATAAACTGGAAACTCATGCTTCACAGTCACTCCATTTTTGCCTAGGATATTGGGTGTAGTATTTCTATAAAACTGATAATGTGAATATGATAAGTTTGATGTATAGATCATTTAAATGCAATAAACCAATTACATGCTTACAGTTTGGATAATTATAGCTAACTATCATAATGAAGGCATATGGATTATATTTTGAGAAATTAAATGCAAACAAGATTAACTTACTTAACCCAGATGAGAGAATTGTAAAATTCTGGATCAATAGATTCTAAATCCTTCAGTCCAACTGGTTTGTTCAAGATACGCTTGTAGAATGGCAAAGAGAAGCCCGTATCTATGAACTTCCCATGGAATAGAGCCTGTACAAAAAGGAAACATTAGCATTTACATAATTGTCATGTAATAGTCATTTTATTTCACAATGTTAAATAAGTTCTGCATTTAAAAACCCTCCTCTGTAACATGACACACTTCTGGAAAAAGGAAGGACATAGCAAACTCAATCACAGGAATGCCTTAGTGAAGAGAATTAAGGAAGTTAGTATTAACGTTTAGTATTGCGAAACTGTGAAAGTAAACGCACAGATCTCCACTTGCACTTACCATGGCAATAAACCTGCCAATAAAACGAAAATATTTCAGGTGATCTGGATTGATGTAAGAAGCAGGGTTTATCTGCAAGCAGTAGTTATCCTTCCCTGCATATTCAAACAGGCAATACATTGGGTTCAACACCTCATGTGACAAAAGAAAGAACCATTCCCTGAAATCAAAAGAAATACTTTGGGTAAAAAATCTTCTAAGTCATCATTCTAAACAAATAAAAAAGCAATGCTACAGAGTTTCTAGGAAGCTATACTCCTTAGCTGGAGATAGTTTTCTAATCCCATTTTGATTTTTACTGATTCTGTTTAAATTCATATTTTACAGAGATGACATTTACACACTGCTTATTATTATGTTTCAAAGAGTCTAAGAGTTTAAATATACTATTGTTTGATGAACCACTAAAAAAAAAGTTTCCAATTATAACCATAAGACATTCTAATTTCAGATATGTTAAGATCTGAAAATACTAGTCTTAGAACTGACAAAATACTATATATAGGCAAGTATAAAATTCACTATCAACCCATGTGATTAGAGGTAGCAAACATGAGTCTAACATTACTCCACATATTACTAAGCCCTTTATGATCCTTGTCAAGTATCATTACTACTTACATCTTAGATGAACATAAAAATCCTTCTAATATAATGGCAAAATAGCATTAAATTCAGGTCACTGATTCATTAGAAAAATGCTCTAAGAAGTTCTAATTCAAATGTGAAAATACCAACTGATACTAACATAAGATAATGGTTTCTAAGTATATAATCTGGGTAAGTCTGGTAAAACAGGAGGCAGAGCTGATCTGGGGCAATACATCTGGTGTCAGTGTGTGTCCTAGGTCTCTCTTCCTGTCAGTTCACGGCCTCTGGTGGTAACATCACTTACACTGTTTTCTGATTAACAAAGGATGACTGCTCTCCTACTGAATGATCTTTAATTTGTACAAAATTAAAGTTTCTGCTCGTATTTATTATTTACCTGTGATTATACATTTTGGAATAGTTTAATCTGAATTTTGAAATGTAATAAAACAAGTAAAAATGACTAAAATGTAGCCAGCAGTTAGTGATCACACATAGACTCAGACTCTAAAGGAGACAACTGTTGTTGTTGTTGTTATGTGCCGTTGAATCAAACCCGACTCATAGCGACCCCTCCTTGGGTTTCCGAGGCAGTATCACTACGGAAGTAGGATTGCCCAACCTTCCTTCCGAGGAGTGGCTGGTGGGTTTGAACCGTCAGCCGTCTGGTTAGCAGGCAAGTGTCTTAGCCACTATGCTACCAGAACTTCCAAAGGAGACAACTAGTAAACAATATTCTAATCTTCCCAACAATTCCAGGAAGCTAGCTATCACTATTCTTATTTTACAGATGAAGAAATCTGCCCATGGTCATAGTATTAAGTGGAAGAAAGGAAATCAAATCCAGTCTTGATGCCAAAGTCCTGCCTTTCCACATTGCCATGCAAACTTTAAGCAGTTGGATCAATATTTATAGAAAAAAGCATAGCAATTTCTTATCTGAGTCTATCTTCCAAGCTCCAATATGAAGAAAGCAGAATTAAGACTCTGAACTCCTACTTTATACAACCTTTCTTTCTAGTATTTGTAGGACAGATATATTAATCTAAGTTAGGAACAGAATAGTTATCATCTGGGTCAGTGACCTGTAGTGGGGGGCCTTGTGTGCTTTGTGGAACAGACATGAGGTAGTGAATTGAACACTGATTTACAGTTAGGTGATGCAAAGCTCACATCCAAGTGCCACAACTTAATTATGCACCTTAAGTGAGTCTCTAAACCTCTTCATCACCCTATTTTACAGGGTTTCGTGAGGATTAAATGAGCGATGTGGGTAAAATCAACTAGCACTCCCATAGAGAGAAGGTGTTGAATTAAAGTTTTTTGAAATTCTGTAGCTGTTGCATAATTAAGGTACAATAATTTCCTACATTTCATGTGTCTGAAATATAAGACTGAGAAAATAATACTTGCAAGCAAAGTATAATGATACCTTTGGAGGAAAGGAACTAAGTTCTGAGTATTCATATTATCACTACCTTGCTACACCTCCATAATCTAAACCTTCTTCTCCTGGAAAAATCACCCACAAACGTCTTCGCAGATCTTGGGGACTGAAGCTCATTATCTATAAAACAATAAAGTAAAAGAATCTGTATGAACAATTGTTGAAACACCACTCTACTACTTCCAGGTTTGAAATCTCCTTCATTATTAAAACAGTTAGTATCAACTTAAATTCCCCATGACAAAGTGGTATATGTAGTCCAGTCCACACCAGAAATACTGAAAATACATCATAGGAAAGCTTCATAATATTATACACATTATGACATATTTCATATTAAAAAGCAAAAAATAACAAACCCACTACCATTGAGTCGATTCAGACTCACAGCAACACCCCCCCTTGGGTTTTTGAGGTGGTAAATCTTTATGGAAGTAGATTCCCTGGTCTTCCTTCTGCGGGGTAGCTGATGGGTTTGAACTGTCAACCTTCTGGTTAACAGTCAAATGCCCTGGGCACTGCAGCACAAGAGCTCCTTATATGTCATATACATATTTTCAGATACTCTATATATAGAATTTTCTTTTTAACGTTGTTACTGCTGACTTATGAGGCCAATTCTCTCAGTTGCTTAAAGCACAGAGTAATTGAGCATGGTCAGAGGTTAATATGTCTTTTCTTTTGTGGTCAACTGAACTGGGTTTGTTTCATGATCAAAAGGTACACATCACAGTCAACTAGCTATTCCATAAATGAAAACCAGTGGATGCAGAGAGAGCTCAGATAACCTTAGAAACTCATTCTCAGTGGAAACCTATAAATACCAAGAAAACATAAATAAAATTTTTTGCCCACTACAAAAGGACAATTCTATTAATGAGCTACAACAGAGACTTTTTTTTTTTTTTTTACATTGTGATGTGTGTGAAAGTTTATAGAGCAAATTCATTTTCCATACAACAATTCATACATATTTTGTTTCATGACACTGACTGCAATCACCACAATGAAAAGGCTTTCTTCCCACTTCCTCCTTGTGATTACCTTTTTCCTGTGCCCATCTTTCTATATATTTCTAGCCCCTGATTTACCTCCCTGTGCAAATACTGCTCTTCAAATCTCCCATGGTTGATCATTCTAAGGCATGTCACCTTAGACACCTATTGTTTGGCTAGAAACTACATGAATGAATTCAATTCCAGGCCCAAAGGGTCTCTAGGGGCAATAGTCTTGGGGTTTCACCAGATTCTATCAGACCAGTAAGCCTGGTCTTTTTTTATGATTTTTGAGTTCTGTTCCACATTTCTATCCCACTCTACCCAAGATCACCTATTTTGATTTTTCTCAGAGTGGATGACAGTGGTAGCCAGGCACCATCTAGTTCTTCTGATCTCAGGGACATATAGGCTGAGGTTTGCATGGTCAACTAGTCTCCTAGACTAATTGTTTTCATGTGTCTTTGGTTTTCTTCATTCTTCTTTGCTCCAGACAAGGAGAGAACTATTGTTGCATCTTAGATGGCCACTTGCAAGCTCTAAAGACCCCAACACCACCCAACAAAGTAGGAGGTAGAACAATGTTTTTGTGAGGTGTGTCATGCCAATTGAGCTTGATATCCCCCACGATTATGGTCCCAAACCCTTTTGTTCAGGAACTCATCCCTCAAGGTGTTTGGCTGTGACTAAGGAGTTATCATAATTTTGCCCCATTAGCTCTAATACACACACACACACGCACACAGACATTCTTACAGCACACACAAATACATATGTAGAAGTATCATCTGCAAAACTTATATATGGTCATGGGTATATTCCCTTTAGCCCAGACATACTTGATCATTTTAGCCTGTCTACCTATGTGTCTACCTGTAGATTAACGTCTGTTATTACTGATAATGCAGTATTGTGTATGTTAAACTGTTCAACTTTTTTGTCTGTACTTACTGTGCATCTCTCTGAGTCTCATTTTCCTTAGTGTTACTGTGTTAGTGACTTGCTTTTGGTGTATTCCCTTTCCCTTCACCCAAATCAATACTTGTCTCTTACCTATCTAGAATTTTCCCTTCCCTCCGCTCTTAACCCTGGCAATGAACAAAGAAAGTTTCCTTCCACATGTAAAATTTTCCTTGACTTTTCAAAATAGTGGACGAATACAATATTTGTCCTTCTGTGACTGACTTATGTCACTCAGCATAATGTTCTCCAGGTTAATCCACATTATATGGTGTTTTGCAGACTCTACATTATTCTTTAGTGTTCCATAGTATTCCATTGTGTGTATGTATCACAGTTTGGCCATCTAGTTCTCTATTCATGGGAACTTAGGTTGTTTCTATCTCTTTCCTATTATGAACATTGTTGCAATGAAAATGGGTGTGCATACCGGTCTATGTAAAAGTACTTAATCATTAGCCTAAAATTAGGTCAGTAGAGCATTTGCAATTATTCATTATATTTATGAAAAAAATCACAGGGCCTAAAGAGGAAGAAGATCATTTAATGCTTCTACTTTATGAACTAGTAAGAAAAAAGTCACATATTTAAATATCAAGATCTGTATTTAGTCTAAGGCTCTCTGAAATCCCCACAAGACAGATGAAGAAAATCAGATGCAAATTTTGCTATAGATTTGTCAACTTTCCAAAGCAATATAAACTTTCTCTTAGGCTTATTATTTTATATTTAATCGATGGAGATTAAGTCTATTGTGACATTTTTTTAATCAACTGTTTTAGAACTATCTGTCATTTTTTAAAGTCTCCTGAACTTCAGAAGTCAAAAGATAAAAGAGGTATGAGCAACAAAAGACAAAACAGATAAACTGGATCTCTTCAAAAATGAAAAAAATGTGTTTTATTAAAGGACTTTATCAAAAGCGTAAAGAAACATCATACAAAATGGAAGAACATTTAGAAAACCATGTATCTGGTAAGGGTTTAATATCTAAAATATGTAGAAAAAAATTCCTCTGAGTTAACAACAAAAAGACAAGCAACCAATCAAAACATGGTTTCAAACAATAGCTAGACCTACAAGGTGAACAATCATACCAGGGATTCACACTCACTGGAACAATCACCCACATGGGATCAAAGGAACAGCATTTGCCCAGGGATAAAACTAAGAAGGCAGGAAGGGATGGATAGGGAAGAAGGAAGAAAGGAAAAGACAAACACAGGAAAAAAGTGGGAAGAATGCTGCTATATCTTGGGGATTACAATGAATTTCACACACACACACACACACACAATAATGTGTATGAATTATTGAATGGAAAGCCAATTTACTCTGTAAACTTTCCCTCAAAACACACACACACAGAAAAAAAAAAGAAAGAAAGAAAGAAGTGTTAAGAATTAGGGATTACTAAGTATCTACCACTCATCTGTCAGTTTGTCATACTGCGGTGACTTGGGTGTTGCTGTGAGACTGGAGGCTATGCCACCGGTATGTCAAATACCAGCAGGGTCATCCATGGTGGACAGGTTTCAGTGGAGCTTCCAGAAGAAGAAAGATGGGAAGAGGGATGAGGCCATTCACTTCTGAAAAAGCTAGCAACTGGAAACCTTATGAATAGCAATGAAACACTGTCTGGTATATTACTAGAAAATGTTATGAATAGCCATGAAACATTATTTGATATAACGTCAGAAGATGAGCCCCTCAGGTCAGAGGCAGTCAAAATACAACTAGGGAAGAGGTGCCTACTCAAGGTAGAGTCAACCTTAATGACATGGATAGAGTAAAACTTTTGGGACCTACAGCTGCTGATGGGGAATGACTGGAAATGGGAAGAAGCAGCTACATTCATTCATTAACAATCAGAATGTGAAATGTACTAAGTATGAACTGGAAGGTTGTTAAAAGTGAAATGGAACACAGAAGATTGAAACCGTAGGCATTAGTGAGCTGAAATGGACTGATACTGGTCATTTTGAATCAGACCATAATATGATCTACTATGCTGAGAATGAGAAATTGAAGAGGAATGGCATGGCATTCATGGTCAAAAACAACATCTCAAGATCTATCCTGAAGTACAATGAAGTCAGTGATAGGATGATATCCATATGTCTACAAGGAAGACCAGTTAATACTACTATTAATCAAATTTATGCAGCAACCACTAAAGCCAAAGATGAAGAAACTAAAGATTTTTATCAACTTCTACAATCTGATATCAACCAAACATGCAATCAAGATGTAATGATTATTATTGGTGATTGGAATGCAAAAGTTAGAAATAAAGAAGAAGCATCAGTAGTTGGAAAATATGGTCTTGGTGACAGAAATAACACTAGAGATCGAATGATAAAATTTTGCAGGACCATCAACTTGTTCATTGCAAATAATCTTTCTCAACAATATAAATGGTGCTTCATACGTGGACCTCGCCAGATGGGATACAAAGAAATGAGATAGACTACATCTGTGGGAACCAGTGGACAAGCTCAGTACCACCAGTCAAAACAAGGCCAAGAGCTGACTGTGGAACAGACCATCAACCGCTCACATGCAAGTTAAAATTGAAGCTAAAAAAAATTAAAATCAGTCTGTAAGAGCCAAAATATGACCTTGATTATAAACCACCTGAATTTAGAGACCATCTGAAGAACACATTTGACACAATGAACACTAATTATCAAAGACCAGATGAGTTGTGGGATGACATCAAGAACAGCATACACGGAGGATTCCGCCAAGATGGAGGACTAGGGAGAAGGATTGCAAAGACCCTCTTCAACAAAGAAAAGGGAAACCAATTAACACAGACACAGAAGATAATCTTGGACCCCTGAGCCTTGAAGGGAAG